GGAGGCCTTGTAGGACAGCCGTATTTCGGTCCAAGGCCTGAGCTTGGCCCCGGTGCAATGATGAATCTAAATACAATGGCATCACTGGGGCAAGGACCCGTTATGGGAATGATGACTGCTGGCCAGCAACAACAACAGCAGCAGCAGCAGCAGAATGGAACCACAACAACTGGCAAGAAGGGAAGCAGTAAAAGGTAGTGTGAAAAGAATTCCTTCAGAAGGCTCAAGGAGGCTCAAAATATCGAAATGTTTGTACTATAGCTCCATTACTGACAAATTTGCAGCATCTGCCTTTTGATCATCTATACAGGATTGCTGTATAGACGATCTTCCAAACCAACAGCACAGATGCTTTATCCTGTAGAGCATCTTCCAGATTATAACGCTGGGAATAAGGGAATCTGAAATATCGCGGTATTTTGTACTGGAGACCATGCCATGAGTGTGTAATGTGGACAGAGAAAATGACCAGTGATGAGAGGAGGTTTTTAGCGAATAAATTGTACGGTGTGCCTTTGGGTCTTATAACGCAGTAGCGGTTTGGTCGTCATTACTACGATGTATTGATATAAAGGGAGATGTAGATGAATGAAGTAGCGAATGCGGTAACGTGAATGAGGTATGAAGGCGTGCTAAGGCTGAAGTGCAAATTTGTCTGACTGTCTGTGCAAATTAAAGAAACCTTAGTATTAAACCGGTAATTAAGAGTATTTGGCTTCTTAGAGTCCCGATTTTAATACGTACAAGAAAAGACAAAAAATCCGGGGAAGGACGAAAAATTCATTTTAAAAAAACATCATTTTCAGGTCCAAAGCTAACAAAGCAAATGCTGCAGCCGTGTCATCTCTGAGCAACGATGAACAGCAACAGCAGCAGCTGCTAATGGCACGGCGCAAGCAGCAACCACTGATGACAGCGGGGCAAACGCATCCTGGGCTACCACCCGGTATGCTACCCGCACAGGATTTCTACATGCCGCAGGGTATGTGTGCTGCTGCTGGTACCATGCCACCACCTTCTGCAATGCAACCACGGCAACAACATCCATTCGCGCCAATGGTCAATAATGTTGCCGCAATGAACGCTGGAACGATGGCGCAATTTGATGCTTTTGATGGTACGCTGTAACAGCTTTGCTCACAGTTATCATAAAAACAAATGTCACGAATGAGGCTCATTTTTTTTTCCCCGTTGAGTTACAAGTTTAATGCACCAGGAAACTTCCCTTTCCTCCTTTTCATTCTTATGATTCCTATTCAACATCCGCATTATCGGTTCTTGTGTGCTTACTGCAGATAGACCAAACACGTGTCTCGAGCTTGTATGATTCTCAGTCAGGCTCACATTACCCGGATATGGGACGCCTCTGGAACTAGATCAGTCTAGCGAATCAATATAATTCTATGAAAATGTTCGTAATCATGCG